GGGAACTTGGAAAGTGTCAGCATTTATGAGCTATCAAAAGACACTGTGATGCATAATATCACACAGAAGTGTGCAAAGTGAGATCAAGAGCAGTGACATACACCTAAGAACCACCAACACTTAAATAGAAAAGAGGGAGCCAAGGCTCAGGAGGCTGGATATGAAGAGCAGGTAGAGGGGTTACCGGCAGCATAGAGATGAAGAGAATTATAGAGTGTGAGGAATGGAGATGCTAGCAAATGTTTGGTACTGATTACATACCATAGGCTCTAGGTTAGATAGTGAAGAAAGTACAAAAAGGATAGATTAGTGCAGGGCTACCAGCTCTATTGAGAAAATTAGAAAGGGACATCTGGTTAAATTTGAATTTTTTTTTTTTTAAGATTTTAATTTATTTGAGAGGGAGAGTGCACAGCGCGGGGGGAGGGGCGGAGAGACAGAGGGAGAGGGAGAAGCCGGCTCCCTGCTAAGCCGTGAGCCCAATGCTGGGCTTGATCCCAGGACCCCAGGACCCCAGGATCATGACCTGAGCTGAAGGCAGATGCTTAACTGACTGAGCCACCCAGGAGCTCCTAAATTTGAATTTCACATAAACAAAGAATATATTTTTTTAGTATATATATGTCCCAAATACTGTATGGGGCATACTTAGACTAAAAATTTATTGTTTATCTGAAATTCAAATTTAACTGGGTGTCCTGTATTTTATTTGGCAATCATAATTAGGTGAAAAAGAAAGATCTAGAGTCTGGGAGTTCTCCTGAGGTCAAAGGACAAGGGCATGGTATAGAGGAGTGAGGACCCTGAATATTAAAACATTGTAGTTTAGGATTCCAGAGATGGAAGGGTGATGAAAAGGATCAAGGAAGGTCCACTGGGATTTGTGACTGAAATGGAATGGAAATGCAAGTCCAAGAAGAAACAGAGGCAAGAATATTTGATGGCTTATTAGCATGGACACTGAGGTCAGTTAAAATGTTGGCTGAAGGGTAGAGGGGATGAACATGAGCAAAATATCAAAGTCTTCACTAAGTGTGGCAAAATTACCAGCAAGTCAGTGGAGGCTGGTACAGTCATAATACAAAAATTTGATAGAAGGGAGGGCTTTTGGCATGATATTGAAAGAGTAATAATAACTTGAAATTCTGTGATGTAGAATTGGGGAAGTGATCCCCAGCTCAGAGAGAAGGAACAACTTTCAAATGTACAGACTACACAGGTAGGAGGGAACTTGGAAAGTGTCAGCATTTATGAGTTATCAGAAGACACTGTGAGGCACAATATCACACAGAAGTGTGCAAAGTGGGAGTTTGAAACTCAGAGTTTCAAACAAGATGGAGAAGCAGGATATATGGTAGTATGTTTTCAATAGAGCTGTTGCTATAGAGAAGGGAATGAAAAGGGATGGGAGAGATTATCAGTGAGCTGACAACAACAACCAAAAGCGAAAGAAATGGGGATAAAGAGAACAGGAACAAACAAAGTAAGAATCTAGTCTTGATGGAGAAGAAAAGGTAGGCTTTTCCAAACAATTGAGACTTGGCTTGAGCTGAGATCCAAAAGATGTGCTTTCTCATAGGCACCTCAGGTTCATCAGGTCCAAGGTCAAGGAGTAGCCCAAACTTGTCACGCTTCCAATGTTTCCTAGTGCGGTGAATGTTACGACTGTCCATCAAGTCACGCAGGTTAGAAATACAGGAGGTATTCATGGTATCTTACTCCACTGTGCTCACTATCCAAACCATCATATAAGCATCAGGTAAAGAGAAAACCATTCCAGGCAGTGGAAATGACATATGCAATATTCTTTTTTTTTTTTACGATTTTATTTATTTATTTGACAGAGAGACAGGAAAGCACAAGTAGGCAGAGCGGCAGGCAGAGGGAGAGGGAGAAGCAGGCTCTCCCCTGAGCAGGGAGTCTGATACAGGGCTCGATCCCAGGAGCCTGGGATCATGACCTGAGCCCCAGGCAGATGCTTAACTGACTGAGCCACCCAGGTGCCCCAACATATGCAATATTCTTATGTTGAAAGATAGCATGGTGCAATCTAGACACTAAAGAGCTTTCACCTTGATACAGGAGAAGAAGGGACTAGTTCATGATGGGTCACATTAAGGATTTGTTCTTTATCCTAAAAGCAACAGAAGCCATTGGCAGGTCTGAAGCAAGGAAAGTGATATGATCAAACTTAGGTTTAAAAAATAGCATTCTGGGTAGAATGGAGAACAGATTTGAGAAAACAAGAATATAAAGAGATGACAAAAAAGGCCAGTATAGTCATCCTGGTGAGAAGGGATAGTACTTTGAATAGCGTGCCAACAACGGGCATGGAGAAAAGTGGATGGTTTTAGTGGTAGCAGAGATGAAGCCAACAGGAATTGGTGATAGCGGTGAGAATTCTCTCCTACTTCAACGTTATGAGGATTGATCTAGTTGAAAGGGGATGGCTGATTACACAGGAGAGAAAACAGATAATTGAGCACTGATAACAGATAACTGAATTGCCCTTAGACCTGGAAGGATCCTCCTATTGCAAAGAGCAAGAAGTCCCCGAGATCAAGGGGCCATGTCTGCCTAGATCAGACAGCAGACAGAGCTGCTGATTACACATCACTATTTGCAAGAAGGGATGCAGACATAAGCTGACACATGTTAGGTGCACGCATGCATGGTCCCTTCTGGTGTGGTGGGTGAAGAAGCTGGGAATGGGAAGAGAACAGGATCTGGCGGAGAACACTAGAAGTCTGAAAATTATAAATTTAAACCTGGCCTTCCAGATCATTATTTCAGTCAAGGTGGTAGAGTAGAATACATTTTTTATTTTTATTTTTTTTTAAGATTTATTTTTTTATGTAATCTCTACACCCAGCGTGGGACTCAAACTCACAACCTTGAGATCAAGAGTCACATGCTCCACTGACTGAGCCAGCCAGGTGTCCCGGCATACATTTTTTTATAATAGTTTGTTATCCTGATTTATAACTTAAATATTTAGACACGTAGTATGTGAGCCTCCAAGCCATACTCTTGCCCAGGCTCTGCAAATGTAGGGTTAGGACTGATAAGAGTGTACAACAGTATAAAAGACTATAGTGCAAGCAGAAACAAATTCATGAGAGTGAGAGTACACTTTAGCTGGGCCAAATCGGATTTTCCAGACTTCTACGCGGGAGATGAGAAAATAAATGGTGCAAGTTTTCAGGTACTATATTAACATATATGAGTAACATTTATGTATCTGGAGGGTCAACAATTAAGAGGCTATTTTAATTGTAATGGTTTCAGTGTGATTTTGAAAAGATTCTTGAATATGGCAGAAGTTAAGAGCATGTAAGAGACTTTACTGATCATGTAATTGAATTTATTCAAATAAAACAGAGGTTCTGACAGATGAAACATTGTGACTGAGGTTACAAAGCTAGCTAGTTATCACCCAGTGATTTCCAGCCCCATCCTCTGTCCACTCTTCCAACAATGCTACTTTTCATGAAGACACATGCTGACAGTCAATTCCAACCACAAAGTTTTCACTTTCTTTCATCGTTTAAGGTATTAAAGGAAGTAAATACTTTCATTACTTTAAAAATTTGAGGCACCTAAAAAAAAGTCCATTATTAAATTTTGACTCCAAAGTATTCTAAACAAACAAAAAAGGGAAAACAAAATAAAAAATTCCAACTTCGTAAGGTCACAAGAATTGGTAATCCTGGAAAGTTACTTTTTTTTTTTTAAGATTTTATTTATTTATTTGACAGAGAGAGAGAGGGAGAGCGCACAAGTAGGCAGAGCAGCAGGCAGAGGGAGAGGAGAAGCAGGCTCCCCGCTGAGCAGGGAGCCTGACGTGGGGCTCGATCCCGGGATCACGGGATCATGACCTGAGCCGAAGGCAGTTGCTTAACCAACTGGGCCACCCAGGCGCCCCTGGAAAGTTACTTCTGTTTTCTAAAAAGTTACAGGTAACATAGGGCTCCTTTTAGGACTTAGAATATTCTCGGATGCTCATTTCCTGATTTGACTACTTTTATTTTTACATCTATTCCTTTGACTTGTTAATCTTATGTAAGACCTGAGTTGAATTAAAATCTTGCTTCTCGCTTTGGTTGCAACCGTGTTACCGTCACCCATCTCCCCCAATTCCTTATCTTTTAAACTAGAAATCAAAATACACATTTATAAAGCACTGAACACTCAGGGTGCTAACCGCTATTTTACACCTAAAAAAATCCTTGCTTTTCAAACATCAATAAATATAGCTAATGGATTTTTCTTAGCAAGCCTCAGTTATAATAATTGCAATAAAATTAAGATCTTTAAGAGTGTATCACTAAAGTTTAAAAGAAAAATTATCCAGGGAGTCTTACCTTCAAGCTCGGAAGTAATCCGAAAGTTCTGGCTTTGCACGAAGTTACCTCCCTTAAAGCATTAAGAGTTGACGATCTTAGCAACAGTAACAAATCTTGTCAGGACACCAAGTGAGTTTTAGTCCCTCCCATCCAACGACTGCTACCTAACAGAAGGAAGGACTGAATTCCGCACAAAATTTTCTCCTCTGAGCTAAGCATCAGCCAAATTCGGCTTTCTGAGCGCGAAGAGACGGGGAGGACCCCAGGGGATAAAAGGAAGAGAAAGTGACACATGACAAAGTTGAAGCAGAGACGAGCGCGCCTGGGCGGGGGCAGAGTTGAGGGTGCGGAGTTGCGGATTCATTCCGGACACTCAACCGGGCACCAGGGTTCACGCTGGCGACAAGTGGAAGACCCTCCCCTCACAGTTCGCTCCACCACTAGCAGCGCCCCGCGGAGCTTTGACCTCCAAAACTGGTCCGCTTGGCGATACCGCCTCTTCGGCTCCAGATTGACGCCTTTGGTTGGTTCCCAGAGGGATCCTTCAGCATGGCTCGTCCAATAGAGGGCTCTGCCGATGGCCCGGCCGCTCCACTCCTCCTCCGCCCCTCCCCTGCCCCTCCCCCCGCCCCTCGCTGAGGGCCCGCCCCTGCCCCGCGCCCGGGAGCGGAGGAGAGTAAATACAACAGGAGCGCAAAATGGCGGAACCGCCGAGCCCTGTGCACGGCGCCGCCGCCGCCGCCGCCGCCGCCGTCTCGGAGAAAGAACCGTTCGGCAAATTGCAGCCCCCCTTCCGGGACCCACCGGGTCCTCTGTCGGCCAAGAAGGTCCGGACTGAGGAGAAGAAGGCGCCGCGGAGACTGAACGGAGAGGGGGGCAGCGGCGGGAACAGCAGGCAGCTGCAGCCGCTGGCGGCACCTTCGCCTCAGAGCTATGGCAGCCCCGCGTCTTGGAGCTTTCCCGGTCTGTCTGCTGCCCCGTCCCCGTCCTCTGCTCGGAGCAGTTTCTCTTTTTCCGCTGGCTCCGCGGTCCCTTCCTCAGCCTCCGCTTCCTCGTCTCAGCCGGTGCCGCGCAAACTGCTGGTCCCTCCTACGCTGCTGCACGCTCAGCCTCACCATCTCTTGCTGCCCGCCGCCGCCGCCTCGGCCAACGCCAAGCCCCGCCGACCTAAGGAGAAGCGAGAGAAGGAAAGGAGGAGGCACGGCCTCGGCGGGGCAGGCGAGGCCGGCGGGACCGCCCGGGAGGAAAACGGGGAGGTGAAGCCGCTGCCGCGAGGTGGGTGCCGACCCTGGGAGGGGGAGGGGAGGGCGCCCCGGGTCCCCGCCACCTCTTCGCGCCCGCGGGGCCCGGGCAGGGGGAGCGCGGGGGCCGCGGGCGCCAGCCTGGAGGGGGCGGGAGGCGTCCCGTTCTCAGCAGGCGACTTTGCAGTCCCCTTGGGGACAGGAAATGGAGCCTGTAATTTCGGTTGCAGCGAGGGGAATGGCCGAAACTCTTTATTTTTTATATTGTTTCTATCTCCCAGTTAATGCACTGCAAGATTTGTAGAATTCGGTCTAGAGTACCCGCCTAGGTGTGCTGGGCTACGGAGGGAGATGGGAGGGAATGGGATCGCGAAGGGTTTGGTCTTGTAAAAGGTGCTTGATTCATTATTAGACCGTTTAGACGTGATCACAGAATTCGTTATTTGTGACACAGACTCCAACGCCAGAAAATCCTGTCAAAAAAAGGGGTGTGGAGAGCATTGGCGTCAGCTGGAAGCCACCAGAGGCCTGAGCTTTTCATCCCTATTAGGGAAATGAGGTAGCGTGCAGGGCCCGAAGTGTGCTGTTTCATAAGGTATCCTCCCTGCACCCTCCGCACAGCTCAGTATTCTCAAGTGTTTTGAGTGGTCCTCTTTGGAATACCACCTTCAGAAAGAATTTTCAGCCATATTCTTTTTTCCTGCAGCAAATGATAAAATCAGGAGCGTTGTCGTTTTTTTGCCAGATCAAGTGACTGCCAAATGTTTTAGCATCAGAAAATGACAAATTCATAAGGGTCCTTTTCAGACGGGCCTAGGCAATTTTCTTTTAAAATGTAGGCTAGCCGTTTAATTTTCAGAAAGTATTTATTTGAAATAGATGGACCTGCTTATTTATTGATATACAATTGATGGTGGTACAACTTGGGAGAGTGGTTGAAAATTAGACATTTATGTGATCAAAAGCCTAAAGCACATAGTGACCTTTATTATAAATGTACATTGAGAATGTATTGTGAAGGTATTTTTGTTTTTTAGGAAAAATGACATGTCAAGCAGTTTTAGTATTGCTGATCTAATTGTAGCTTAAATCATGAATAATTCTCTATATGTTTGAATTAGAATGGCTGTTTTCACAATTTTTTAAAATGCTGCACAGGAGTATGTAGTAGCAGGGTTACTTCTTCCCTGCTGTTTTGCCTGTAGAAAAGCTTGGACAACTAAGCATAGCCATCAGGTACTCTGGCACAAGGTAGAATTCTCTCCGTTTTGGAGAGTGCTGCTTCTAGGAAAGTGGTTTTGAGGATGGAACTTATACTACTTTTAGTCTGGAATTTTAGGTGGTTAGTATTTTAAAGCTATTTTGTTTTAATGCTTACCTTTAAAAGTAAAAAGTGCTTGAAAGTCTGCATTTGCAGCTTGGTATTAGTCTTATTTGTGATGTGTAAACAGTGTATTCTAAGTTCTTTGAGGAAGTGAATGTGGGGTATAACATTGTCAGGGTATTGGAATGGCTGAAAATAAATAAGCATTCTTTCCCAAGTCTAACTTAAAATATGGAGCATAAAAATGGCTCTTAATGTGAAATGGCTGTTAAAGAGAAATTTCTCCAGTTTTTTAAATTACATTTAGAATCCTTCTTTCGAAGGCTACAGATTATTTTATGAAGCCTTAATATGAGGAATGGTAGCTTCTACATTAGGATGTGGGGAACATGTTTTTCCATGACCTCTGTAGGGTTTTTTCCTTTGGAGTGACTAAATATGAATACCATTGTAAGATTTTCATTTTTTTGAGAGAAATGCTGCTATTTTACTGAAGAAAATCTAAAAATCAACGAGGATTTTTTTTCAGTGTCTTAATGATTAATGGTGAAAATTTTAAGAAGTATTACCCTTCTAAAGTTCAGTTTTAACTAAATTGAAGTTCTGTTTTAATCAATTAAGAAAATTCCTCAGCAACAGTGTTATTAAAATAGAAAATTATATACATTCAATATAAACATAATTATAAATATGAAAATTCTAATTTGTAATACAGTCCGTTTCTCTGGGCTTTATGTAAGAGTCTTAGTGAGTGGTTGGGGCATCTGGCTGCCTCAGTCACTGGAGCATGCATCTCTTGATCTCGGGTCAGTGAGTTCGAGCCCGACCTTGGGCTTAGCCTTATCTTAAAGAAAAAAAAAATCTTAGTGGATATATCTGTTTTTTTAAATATATAACTCTTTCTAATGTTGCTCTAAGTTGGATAGTTCATGGATAGCACAGAGGATAGTTCAGTGACCCCATTTATCCCATAGTTGGCTGATTGAACAAGCTGAATCAGAACAGGAAGTGAGCTATAAAGACACCTAAGCAAAGAAAATAGATCCTTCCCTCAAAAGGCAAACATACATCCAAAAAATCTAGCTCCCAACTCCATTAACCAGTTGAGTTCCTGTATGGTAGGTTTTTTTTTTTTTAAGTCTTTAGTGAGAACTGCTAAATTTTTACATTGGCTACCATCCTAACAGGAATTACTTGTATTAAATGAAACTGTGTATGAAAAGGCTTGGCAAGCCATTTAGTAAATGTTATTTGAGTCAGAAACATGATGATTTGTTTTTTAACCTTATAACAATTAAAAAGTGGATCAGTCCAGCTAGAGTAAGGATCATTGACAGATTTGAAAGTTAAGAGTGATAAAACAACAGAATCACGAAAGCGTAGCAGTCTAAGTCCATTTAGCATAAGGGTTGGTGCCTTACACACCAAAAACCTGTGAGGTCATCTAGTCATAGTGCGGTAGCTGACTTCCATGATAGCCTGACTCATCATGTAAAAGTTAAATTTATTTCTTATAAAAAGAAAATGTGCAAAACGTTTTAGATTTTTAAAACTAGAAAATAACCAGATTTAGTGGTTAGAGAGGTAATCTACTAAAGAGTTCACAGCCCATTTTCCTGTAAGATTGAATAAATTTTTGAATTGGTAAATGTGGAAGGTAAGAGTAGACATGTACTGAACGTATCCAACATTTAGAATTATGTTATAGCAAACAGAACAAACAAATTATTGGATAACAGAGTGCCTTAACGACTGCAGTAACTAATAACACTTGTATAGCTCTTCTCATTTTTGTTAGTGTTTTTGCTTTGCATTTATTAACTTATTTTTTTCCTTAGAATGATCCTGTTAAGTATCCCAAGATAAAACCAGAGCATTTCACAGAATGTTTGCCTTGAAAGTATAGTTACAGAATTTAATAATGAAAATAGAGGCTTTTTTTTTTTTAGAATTGAATAATAATTATTTTTGCTTCTATTTTAATTCCAGTTAGCATACGGTGTTATATTCATTTCAGGTGTACAATACAGTGATACAACAATTCCATACATCACCAGGTGCTCATCACAAGTGCATTCCTTAATCCCCATCACCTATTTAACCCATTCCCCCACCCGCTAGGTGCCATTGGTTTGTTCTCTATAGTTAGAGTCTGTTAGAAGTGAATAATTTAAGGTATGTAAATGTCAGTGATTTAAAGGGATAGATGTTGGAGGATTTTTCCACAAACTAGACTTTTCTCTATCTTTCTAATGTTAATTCCACAGTTTTTGGTTAAATTTATATTCAGAGGTTTCATCATTATGACCAAGTATTTGTCACTGCTGAAATAGTTTACTATGATTTCATTTTCTTGTGTAACCTTTTGTTTTTCATGCCTAGTTTTTTCATGTGCTTAGTTTGGTCTGGCAAAGTCTTTCTGTACCCTCCAGCAGCTCCATAAAATGCTTCTCGGTACAATTTTCCACATGATCAAATCTGTCAGATAAACTTATCAGTTCTATTTGTTCCTGTAGTCATCTCTTCTGTAGCTGTCTTTCTTCCTGCTTTAGTCTGGATTGTTTTCTCTTTAGGCCTGCTGCAAAGCCGTCATCTGGGACTTCCCTTAGCTGACATTCTGAGAATTTCTTTCACTTTCGCTCAGTCCCTGTTTTCTGGACCCTATGCCTTCCTTTGGTTTATTCCTTCATTTTGGTTTCCTCTACTATTACTGTGAAAGTGCATTGGAAATTTTTTTTTTTAATTTATTTTTACCCTCATGCTAGACTGTTTGGCTGTTGAGAGATTTCTATATTGGAAATCATTTTCCCTCAAAAGTTTGGAGGTGTTCCCATATTGCCTGGTTTCCAATGTTGATGTTGAGAAATTTGATCTCCAAAAAAATTGTCTTTTTTCCACAGTCTGGGAGATTTCAACCCTTTTATTGAATTTTTAAATTTTAGCTCTCTTTTGAAACAATATTTTATGAGCTCTTGTTCTTAGTTCCTGTATTGTAGCATCTTGTTCTTTTTTCATGGGTGCAGCATCTTCTGTTACCTCTTCAAGGATATTAATTATAGTTTCTTTGTTTCTTGCATTGTTTTTGGTTCTTCTAAAACTGTTTTTTTTGTCATTGATTTTGGTCTTGTTGGAGGCTTTCTTCAGATTTGTGTGATCCTTAGCAGTTCCTTCATATTCAAGGAATGTTCAAAACTGATTGAAAGCTCACTGGGCATGCATGAGCATGGCTTAGTGACTAACAAACTCCCATGTTTTACCTTTTTTTTTTAAATTTTTTTTTTTAAGATTTTATTTATTTATTCATGAGAGACAGAGAGAGAGAGAGGCAGAGGGCAGGGAGCCCGATGCGGGACTCGATCCCAGGATCCTGGGATCATGACCTGAGCCGAAGGCAGATGCTTAACCATCTGAGCCACCCAGGCACCCTTTTTTTTTAAATTTTATTTTTAAGTAATCTCTATACCTGATGTGGGGCTCGAACTTACAACCCCGAGATCAAGAATCGCATGTTGTACCGACTGGGCGCCCCTCCCATATTTTATCTTTACTTCTTTTCTCTGGGTAGTGGGTAAGAGGGTTTTCAGTTTCTTCAGATAAAGGTCCTTCATTTTTCTGTCTGTGTAACTGGAATAATGGAGAGGAGGGGATTGGCAGACGTAATGAGTTTAGATGGCGGGACTGTAGTGCTCGGTGGAGGACGAAAGCTGTAA